TCAAGTTCAGTAACTTTTACTCTGATTGGTCAAATTTCAATCTAATTCCAATTTCAATCCGTAGTCTGATACGGGCTTAACTTTTACTCCAGTTGGTCAAATTTCAATCCAATCTCAATCTCAATCCGTAGTCTGATACGGATTTAAGTCTATGGTTGACAGTCAAGTAAAATGCCACTTGAAAATCTAGTAACATCTCACGTGACCACATATCTAGTCCTCTCAGGACAGACAACAAATCCCTAGGCGAGTTTCGTTTCGAGCCGCTCGTGCCGGAGACAGCAATCGAACCGATTTTACTTGACGTTCTCGCGAAAACGTACTCACAACTGACTCGACATGATTAACACGGTCCGTTTAGTATCTCGACAGAGCTTTCCTCAATTTCGCCGTTTGCACAAATGGTGAGGCTGAAACCGTCACGAGCGGGGTGGTTTCATAACCTAAGCTTGCATTCGGGCATTTCCTATCGAGAGGATTGCCATGAGGATGGCTCTGATTTAATTGGCGATTAATTCAACTGACAAGATCGTTGATACAAGCATGTAACGATCAAGTATTGTATAACATGACCGAATGAGACTATATCCTCTTAATTAGCCTTGGTCAAACCCGATATAGAATGTATCCTTTGTATCTAAAGGCTCGTCTAGACGACAAGGCGTAAGGCGCAGCGCAAGAGCGCGAGCACGGGCGCAAGAGGATTTTTCCCGATCGTAGGGTCGTGGCGCAGCGGCGCAAGCGAAATAAACTAATTTTATTTCCAACGCCTGAGCTCTTGCGCCGTGCCTTACGCCTTGTCGTATAGACGAGGCATAAAACTATTCTGTATAAGCATGTATACATTGATCAACTTGCACACTTTTAAATACATTTAATGGTTGCAAAATGGAATATTTCTGAATGCGAGGAGTACATTGTAGATAGCACAGGTTTTGCTGACACTTGGTGTGTTTGTTGTATCTAGCATTGTCCGACAAACGGAATCGAGCACAGCGGCAGCGACAAAGGCCGCGTCACCACCATTGCCACCTCCTCCCTCTGACGCTGACAAGCCGGTGGATCCGAAGATTGATAAAATAGCCAATGACATTACTTCTCTCAATCTGATAGAAGTAGCGGAGCTCAGTGATCTATTGAAGAAACGACTGAATCTGCCAGATGCGCCTGTTGTGCCTGTTGGAGGATTCGTTGCCGCATCTCAAGCTGTGGTAATTGTTCCCCATGATGTTTTGTACAATAGTTTTTAAGGAATCTTTTAAATGAAAGAGAAACAATTTTCCTTTTATTCCTTGAGGAGGAGGAAGAGCAAACGCAGAAGAAGGTACAAACGGAGTTCACCGTTAAGTTGACGGCATTCGACGAGAAGCAAAAGGTAGCGATAATCAAGGAGATCAAGAGCCTGTTGCCGGACACAAATCTTGTTCAGGTATCACATTATCCCAGTGAGAAATGTCGATCGACGAGTCCTTTCTCGCTGGGATTGAAAATTCATTAAATTTTCTGTAACAACAGGCTAAGAAGTTCATCGAGAGTGCACCAGCAATAGTGAAGGCGGACATATCAAAGGACGAAGCGGAGAAATTGCGAGATGCTCTTACGAAAGTTGGTGGTACAGTCGAGATTGTATAACTCGTACATGTTGAATACACATATTGTTGATGTATATCTGTAATATTACAATAAAAATTGACATTTACTCGCAGCGGCCCTTCTTTCCCTAACTGCTATTTATTATCTGTAGAAAAATATTTCTCTGTCATGTGTAATAGGCTGGTATTATATTTGTCGTACGACAAATGTTTCAAGTGTCTTGTCGAGTATAAGGTAAAAATATTTTTATTAAAGAGCCACAGATGTGCAATGCAGCTTTGATCACGTTTAGCTGCGCTGAGTAAATACTACATTCGCCGATAAGCGATTGAACGGCTATCAGGATAAAAGGGTATACATATAATGAGAGATTGCTATAGTGCACTGATGTTCAAGTTCTTTACGCATACGTTTATGCAAGTTTGTCTGGATAGACTCTAACCCAGTAAACACCGTACATACATATTTACATTTGCATTGTTGAGTAAGAGATTGTAAGATAAATGCAAGCTTGGTGTTTACTGGGCAAGTATGCGCGATACGAGAGGAACGCGATCAGAGAGAGTATTCCGCGAATTGAAGGAATGGCGCTGCGGCGAACATATCGATAAAGCAAGTGTGCCGTCCTAAGCGCACGCCGGGCCCCGTTCCTCTTCCCGACGGAGTCCGCGAAAATTGTAGACAAGCTCGTCCCGTCGCGCTCCGGAGACGTCTCGGCTACGCCGAGAGTGTCGGGGAAGGAGTCCCGTTGCGGAGCACGCGGCCGATCGATCGTCGCCCCCAGTCGCCCCGGGTCGAACCAACGTCGGCGACGCGCCGCCACTGCCGGCCACGACTACTGCCACCGACTGCCACGATGGCCGAGGAGGCTGACATAAACGATAACGCGGCGATGGAAAGTATAACGCGAAACATAGCGGAGGTGCGTAAACGAGCGGCGATTAACGGATCTGCTGGAACATGGTGATGCGCGACACGGGCGATCACGGTCGCGCGCCGCGTCGCGCTACGAAACGCGCGGTCGTAAGGTTAACTCCAATGGGTGTTTCTTTTGACAGGTCGGTGGCACCGGCGGCGGCGGCGGCGGCGGCGGCGGCGGCGACTCGCCGACCGCGACGACGGGCGAGGTGGGCGCGCTGCAATTCCAGGCGTCGCAGGTGATCGCGCGGCTGGAGCGGGCGGTGGAACAGGCGGCCGACGGCGGCGGCACCACGTGGAACAACCCCTCGGGATTCCTCACGCAGCCCAAGAAGCCGGACGAGATATTGGCGTTGATTCAGGTGCTGACATAAACGATGTCTATGTTCTTGTTGGATCGACTGGCTGCGCCAGTTCAGGGTTTAGATAGTAGAAGATGGAATAGTCAAATTTGTGAAATATACATATTGTCTTATCACACAAACGTAGAGGAAAGAGGTTTCTGTTTAGGACCTGGTAATACACGAGGACGCGCCGCAGCCAGTCGAGGCGGGATCCACGGATTCGCCGATCAGTCAGATCACCGCTCTGCCAGCTCTAACCGAGGCGGCGAAATTGGCCCTGGTCACGCACACCGTCTCGGCTTACGCGGTAGCGTTACCCAAGTCGCACGCGCAGAAACTCGCGGGTCGCCTCGCCGCCGACACGACGAGATGGCTCAGCCACATCTTCCGCTTCGTCGACTGCGCGTCCTCCTTCCACGAGGACCACCTCGAGGGGCTGGTCAGGGTGACGCGACTCGCCCTGCATCGGAAATACCCGCGGTACATGGAGGAGGGCTTTACCGCACTCGTGTCTCAGCCGCCCCTCATCTACAGCTCCGTCGCTGCACCCATGGGCGTCGTTCAGCATTTGTGCCGACAGGTACGGCTCCATAGGCCCGTATTCTGAATCCTCTTTTATCGATGAAAGGAATATGGGCCATAAGATATGGTAGTTGGGTGAAACCTTTGCCACTCAATGGCTGTAAAGACAGGTATGCTGAGTCTACGTTAAAGATCTCTTGTACTTTCGCAGCTCTCCTTGCCGCTTCATTGCATAAGGCCAATCCCACACAACACCATGTTCGGCTCGAGGCACACTATGGATATCTCGGCACTGGAACGACGCTTAGCGGAGGACACTCAGTCCAACAATGTAACGCCGTTGCTGGTCCTGGCTGAAGCCGGCTCGGTGTTGACGGGCCATTGCGACAATATTACGCGATTGCGAGCGATATGCGACAAGTATAACGTCTGGCTGCATCTCAGAGGGCATTCGCTAGCTGCGCTCGCGTTGAACAATTCGGCGAAAGATCTGGTGAATATTCGCATAGTGTAGTAAAGTTTTTCAGTTATTTTCATAACATTAATTTTTATTACAGCCGTCGAAAATAGCAGACAGCATCACACTACCGCTCGGAACGTGGCTTGGTATACCGTCGCTGCCGGTGGTTGTATCCTTTCGCGAATAATTGTACCTCTTTTATCATGTATATATAATATCAATTGTTGCGGCAATTTTCCTTAATTTTTGCTCATAGACATTGTATAGATTAGCAGATATTAAAGGGGGTAGGCCCACTCCGAGAGATACCACTCTATCGTTAGTTTCGGGATTGATGGCAGATTCCCTGTCGAGACGACTACCAACTTTGCCTTTGTGGACAGTTCTACAGGCGTTAGGTCGTGACGGTGTACATAATAGATTTAAAAGATGTTTCTTGGCTGTGGAAGAGTTGTACAATAAGGTTAAAGAGTTCTCTTGTATTAGAATACTGGTAGGTTCTTGAAAGCGCTTGCTTAAAAAGAAACACGAGTGTCCAAAATTCACCGTTCATCCTCTTTCAGAGTCAACCGCCGGGCGGCGAAACCGAGTCCTACACCTTAAGCGAATACCTAGCAAACCCCGTCAACAATTTACAGTTATTTGAAGTAGTGGCCAACGCGTTAGTTTTCCAATTCGTGTCTGCGAATAAGGATCTTCAAGTCACGGATCGCGTGCTGCCTTATTACGATAAGTTGAACTCCTGGCTGGGACAGATTCTTCAAAGGGACATTGACAACATACAAATAGAACTTTGTGATATAGAACAGTGCGGTGTCGCGATTCGCATCTGTCCGTTGGAGAATCCCGATCAACCGCCCACGACCGAAGACATAGACAATTTAGTGACCTGTCTTGAGCAGCAAATAGTAAGGACACTTTCGGTCACGTTAATCCATACATATTCCTACCGGGCACATGCATCATTTCTTTTTTTTCGACCAATTTCATCTAATAAATTTTGATAAACTGCAGTCCACGACAATCGTCAACACGTTAATAACTCGCCATTGTAATGTCGTTAAATAGGAAATATTGCTAGCAACAGTGGAACACAAAGACACCTTTGTGCGTTTGGTCTCGGAGAATGATTCCTTACATCTAGTGGAAATGCCGGGTTGGGCCGGTTTGGGGGGTGTGCGTTATGCTCCACCCACCTGGATTCACGTTATGACCGACCAGGCAAGGGAGGAATTGAACAAACTCAATACTCAGTTGGTCGAGACCCTGCGCAGCACAGACGCGGCCTTTTCCCTCGGGGAAGGCGCGGATGGCCTGGCTTGTGTTCGATTTGGCATGGTGACACAGGACACAGGCAAGTAAATGCGCTCAATTTTCTTGGTCGCATATGTGCCTCTTTCATCGAACGCTCTTATTTCCAGACGTGGCTGAGCTATTGTCTTTAGTCTTGCAAATTGGCCAGGAGGTGGAGGCGAGCTCCAAAATGATGGATACCATCTCCGAAGTGGTTAAGAGAGGTATCGAGACGGCGCAAACGGATCTGGAGAGGGAAAACGCGGAGAAACTGTGGCAAGAGGGTATTCTCAGGCACGTCCCCGTCGTAGGAACTTTTGTCAATTGGTGGAGCCCAATTTCCAAGGAAACCGGTGTTCGCGGCCGTAGTCTAAATTTGCAAGCTGGTAATTGTAGCTTCCGTACTTTTCCTTAGCGATAGAGATATTTATGATGATAGTGACAAATGGCACGTTTCACGTAATATTTTGTTAAAACAGGTGTCGTAGAGAGTACGGAGAATATCTACAAATACCACATGCAGCTGCAACCTAATTTCACAAACAGCAACGGTTCGGGCGCCAGAACTCCGCCCCAGCCGCTAGTGCAAACGCCGGTCGGTGCTAACAGTCAAAGCCACAGTCGGTCGTCGAGTCATTCTAGCTTGCAGAGTGGGAAAAATGTACCTCTAATAAGCAACGTCAGTTCTCAGCCCCAAGTGAAGGAGGAATCCGCGCAAATCAAGTCGTAGTGAACCTCGTACTCGCTTGGATAAGTCGAGAGCACATTCCAAGTTGTTTAACGTGGAATAAGAATAATGCTTTCTGAACGTGAAACGCTAAAACGTTCCCTCTAGGAGATACAGTCTTTAGCGAGATATTAGTATTGTATAGCTTATCGATTGGGTTAAATAGAACGACGTTGCGTGCGACGGTTTCATTTTATTTTGCCGCTGATACCTTTGACTGGCTGTTTCTCGCCCAAGATATTTCTCGCTTTTACGTACCTAATGTCTCGGCAATCTTTTCCCACAAATTTCGTAAAATTTTGCCTATTGAACCTGACTTAATCATGTACTTAGACTACGTGATAACACGTAGCAGCGTTGCTTTTATAAATTCATACATAACAGTTTTACCGAAATACCTTTTGCGGTATGATGATCAGAATTAAAATCTTCTCTTCTCGATCGATTATCTTTCTTCCCCTCTCATACTTCATTAATACTAATTCGCTAGATAATATATTCCCTATTATATAAAAGAATATGTTGCAAGAAAATTATTTATTGTTGAATATAGTAGTTTTTTCTTTATATAATATTATGCACTTTAATTACTAGCCTGCTAGCCCGAAATATGCTTACATTAAGTTCTTTTTCGTCATGAAAATAATTGAAAAACTCCTGTATTCACGGATTTTTGCTCTTTTTAAGTTGGATGCAGTTTTGCAATGCGAAACCTTACTTGTTTGGCAGAGCAAATTTCGAAATGAAATTCTATTTTTCACAACAGGTGCTCGTGCATTTTACGCTTTCACTCCTAAAAAAGGTACTATTTCGTAATATAAAATTGCTGTGCTCTAGATGTTTTCTTCCAGGCACTTTTGCATTATATATTATTTTTTAGGCTTCGATACTTGGCAATACAGAGACTAAAAATCACGAGAATGGCACTTGGTTTCTCATTGCATAATTACATCCAATTGCTCGCAAGATTTTCAAATGACTAATTTGCACTCGTTAAGTTTTACGTCTTCATTCGCGTAAGCACAACAATACTGCAAATAAAGTGTACTAAGAAAAAAAATATATATAATATGTTTATGCATTATAAGCTATGTACATTTTACCTTTTATCAAGATTTTGAGGAACATATGTGAATGAAAATAGCAAGACAAGCATTCTGGTATTTGAAAGAGATGTGAACAACTCGCCAAAGAAACTTAAGATACTCGCACGTCGAACAGGAAGATCCATATTGTTGCTCTTGTATTACGTAATCGATGATGACATGAGGAAAAATACTTCAATAAATGAATACTGCATTAGGAGAATTGTTGTCGTAAATTGTTGAAGTGTCCAAGATGCAAATAAATGAGGCAGTATGTATATTTATGTACCAAACTTGTAATAAAACATTGCTAAATGAATAAATAATAATGAAATAATGTTATCTTTTTCGCGACGCATTACGTACCAGATGAATTACAGCGATACGAATGCGACAGTATGTTATGGATCTTAGGGTTTTATTTCTCTTTTTATAATATTCATGTTCCGTTACAATAGGAGGAATTAAATCCGGAATATGGCAATTAGACACAATCGTAATATACAAAAAGTGGTATCGATTAACGAGCTTCGTTCATTCTCCTGCATCCTCTCCGAGATAAGTCTCTTTATATTACATGAAAATTCGCAAAACCGCACATACAAAGAAAGACACAATTATAACTTAGGTAAGTTCTCTGGAGTAATCGAGAGTAGCCTCTACATATACTTGGTAAATAAATCTCTTTCGCGCAGTGAGAGAGAAATACGTGAGGAATTAAATGGAAAAAGAATCAAACAGAAGACCTAACCTCTATGACAGAAATAAACGTTCCGTCATATCCTATGCCGAACACGTGTAAAGTATTACATACTTATGCAAAATATGCATATACGGAAAAACATTAGAGCCCTGGATTCTTCGGCGTATCCAGTATCAGTCTTAAAAGGTGCACAAAAGCTTAGGTCTCCCGTGTTCATGTCCCTCCCTTTCTCTCTCTCTCTCTCTCTCGTCACATATCCATATTTGTCGATGTAACATTTAATCAAATTCCGCGAAATCTTTTTTGATTTTCGTTTATTAACTATATTTTCCTTTTTTTGTCTTCTGCGATGAGAAATTGCCGTAGGCCAAGAAAATGTTCAGATTCGAATGAGTTGCTCAACGTTGTATATCATTACATCACTCCCATTATCTGAAAATAATGAGTTTCCGTTCTTTCTCTCTTTCTCCCTCTATCACGCATACACATATATGTATATAATAGACGTATACACTCGCGTACATGCTCTCTTATTCTCTCAATCATCCTGGGCCTAAATTCCGTACACGATTACCGACGACCATCGATACGTTAACGACGTTTGCGCAGCTTTTTCTACATGATAGAAAAGCTGCGCAAACGTCGTTAACGTATCGATGGTCGTCGGTAATCGTGTACGGAATTTAGGCCCTGATCTCCCTTTTTCCTCTTGTTCGTGTTTGTTAATGCAAACGCCGTCGCCTTCTTTTACACCACATTACGTTTACCGTATAAAAATGATGAGAAACTTAAATGCTGATTTACTCGTTAGAAAAAGTGGCGTGACTCTCGTTTCTACTATAAAAATTGACAAACCAAAGTTCCGTTAACAATCGTTAAGAGTTTAACAACGTTTTCTGTGTTCTAGATTATTTTAAAATACGTGTTAAACGGGCTCTTTTCGCTCGCCTGTAAGTCTCGCCCGGATTGAATATCGCCGAGATATTGACAGCTTTCCAATCTGAACGATGCTACATTGATCCCGTTTTTGCGCGCATTGCTGTAAAATCTCGAGCAACCTCTTGTCACCAAATGTCTCAAGACGTGTCCACCTCCAGTGTTTTATCAAGCATTAAAAAGAAAGGGAAAAATGGTATCGGATAAATCAAACATAGTACGTATGCACTTTAGCTAATACAGCGAGAGATGCGTCACAAGTGGATTCTTTGTACATTGAGCCGTAAGTTAAAGTTTATCGTAAATCGAGACAAATACTTGCTGGAAAGTAGGAAAAGTAAATGATCAATAGCTACATATTACGGACACACAGCGTATATCTCTGTGCTAAAACACTGAAGCTGGATTATGTTTGTATACTTTCTCGATAAGCAATTTCTCTCTCTTAAAATCTAGAACATGTATCGGGGGGCAATGTCGCACTAATATAGCTTCCGTACGTATTAATAGTGACGATACAAATATGCTTTTAAGAAAACAGATTTCTCTTTACGTGGCTTAACCTCTTTTCTTTTCCTTTTTCTCAAATTGAGCCGGGTTAAAAATTTGGCAAGAGATCTTATTACTGAATGGTACGCAACTTTATATACTGACTAGGATACTTGTTCATCTCCAAAGTGAACAAAACGATATTTCGTTCATTTCCTATTACGCGCGCGCGCGCGCGCACACATTCACATATATTTAATCGTCGAAACTTAAATTAGCATTCAACTAAACTATATGCTACTAGTCTACGAGCTATCGCTCTTGTAATAAATATTACAATTATTTACATTGGATTAAGTTCTTTTGCTATTCACGCTCTTCTTAAGATGCTCGGTATTGCGATTATATATAATTGATTTTTACTCGACTAAACACAAGCCCTAAGAAAATCCTGGAAAGTAGTTTAAATGCACGTTTTCCTGGAATGGCACGATTTTCCTTTGCGCAAAGTCGTGGTCAAATTGTTCAACCAAATACCAAACAACCAAAAAATGGCAGAGAGTGCTTCCACGCAAAATTCGTCATAACATCTAGATTCGGTTTTATCACACTCTTTACGATTACTCAATAATCTTAAGTGTTACTGCTTTATATACAGACTTACTGAATTATATGCGGATGCCAGTACAAAGTCATTTGCTGAAAATCTACCGACTCTTACAAACTTTTAGATAGTAATCAATTATTAGAGAGAAAGAGATGTACCGAATATTATCGCTGTATACTTGTAACAGTAAACAACGCTTTTCTTCAACTGGCTATCATTCGACTCGACGAATAATCGCCAGATACTCGGTATATCTCTAGCGTTGTAGAATGTTCTCAGGAAGACTGCGCTCCGCAGAAAATTCATTTTCGACCCTTACCAAGTATAAGATTCAGATTTACTTTTCTCACTGTCTTCAGAAAGAGTATCTTTAACTAATACCGCCTGTGGAAGTATGTTCCAAATATCCTTTGTCGATGCGTCGGACAGTCATTTCCTTTTTAGCCCCCTTTTTTACGTTCGCACATAAAGACAACTGAAAACCCATAACGCCTGTGCTAACACCGTCTTTGTACTTAAAAGTATATTCGCCTGAGCATTGGCAGTATCGAGAGCGTGGCGTACAATCAATCGAATTCTGCCAAAGAGTCTCGTAAAAATCACCAGACATTCGTGCGGTAACTAGATGTATACGTTTGTTTTTCCACACACATATATAAAGTATATGAAATATCTCTCACGGAAAATTCAACATAGATTCGTTCGGTTAAAATGTAAAAAGTATATAAAAAACCGTTATATATCGCAGCAGTCCCTTCATCGTATTTTGGTATCTCCTTCGGAGGAGTCGCGACACCCGACTCCTCGGCACGTCAAACGTCGCGCGCTAAAATTAACAGCTAATTTAGAATGAACAAGCGAGCAGTACTTGGTGAACGATATCAATGTGAAAATTTCTGTTGTGCACGTTCGTTAATGCAGCTTTTTGAGCCGACAAGCAATATTAAATGCATACGTCGCCGCTTCAAGTATGCATTCCGGCCTGGATAAACTTGGTCTAATCAAGAACGCGATAACAAAGAGGGAGGATAACGTAGAAGGACGTACCACAATCACTGTACATGATATACAAGTACAAAATCTCGGATATTAAGTATATGTCTCACACAAGTCTCCAAGTTCTCTAAAAATGTGTTTCTTTTTTTCTTTCCTTTCGCCCCCTCCCCGTTTCTCTCACTTTTGTCGCAGGTCCCCGAAATCAGTTTACCGTTTTCTCCTCTCTCTCCGTTTCTCTAGGAACTCCGAATCGCATACTCCGAGCCTTGTTAAAGGACGACACTCTGTTTGTAAAAACGACGAGATACCTCTACTCCGCGAATACTCACGATCCCGCATCCTCTTGCGTTTTCGACGATTAGAGTTCCGTTACAGCGTACAGATTAGGATCGCTACCCTGTACCTGACTCAGCGTAGCCACCGTCGGCTTCTCCTGCCTCCCCTGCGCCCGATTGTACGTGCCGTACATGTTCGGCACCGTGTTGTTCTGCGGGGCGGTACCGTTAAACTGGCTGCGCGAGAAATTCCTGTCCAAAGTTCTGACCTGATCTTGCATTTGATCCTGGATGCGAATGTTAGGTGCCTTGTTCCGCACCAACGACCGAAACTGATTCATATTGGTCTGCGAACGCGACTCGAACTCCCACGTAGGCTGCTGACTCGCTGGATTCGGCGGAAGCGGTCGATTTTGATTCCAGGCCGGAGTCGGGCCCCTCTTCAGATTGGCCAGGTTCTTCGGATCCAGCGTTTGCGTCTTTCGCGAATCCTGGAAAGTAGCGAGATGCGCGGGCCCGTGCGAATTGTGAGACAGGGTACCGGTGAAGGACGCCACGCTGGGCGTCCAAGGTGGTTCTCTACCTGTAATACGAGATGCGACAAGGCGAATCTAAGTACTATATTAGCCAACGCGTCGCATATGCAATTAATCTTTTAAGCATTTACCGGGCCCTGCGGGGGCGTGCCCTCAGTAAAAGTCACTCGACTCTAGCGTCTTGCACTGCTTGCTCAGAGTCGCGTACTGGCCAGGTTGATCTCCGAGTCCAGAACGGTGCTCAGCTCGTCCACCCGTCGATTGCTGATTATGCTGAGACGATTTGTGATCCCCGCCCCCTCCGCTCCCGTTAACACCCCCACCTCTGTAAATGGCGAGGAAGAACGAACAAAGTTGCAGCATTATCTTTGTTTTACATAATGACCGGCGTCCTTTTATATAATAGCTTATCTAAACATAAATCCAAGTTCAATCACGCCTGCAAAACCGTCTATACATGTTATATTTACGTTAATGAAATAGGATTGCAAAGCGCGCTATACTATTCCTCGTAACAATATTGTATAAAGCAATTGAAACTGTTATTCGCTAAGAATAATATTTCGAAATGCTTATGTCTCCAAAACAGACATTCAAATAATCAGAATCAGAACATGAAATATGAAATGAAGAATGACACAGTTATGTGTGATGCAATTACACGTATCTTGTCATGTATATCCGTCAAAAAGCATATACTAATATAAATATCGATGAAAAACTTGTATTCCCGATGAGACAATGATGGAACTATGTATGATAAAGCAACATTCAGAGGAGACGCATTGAACCTAATAACGGTAGTTTAACGCGACGAATTGACCTTTGTTGAGTTTAAGTAGCTAAACAAATGAAAGAGAATAAACTGAAAGTTTCATGCACAAACTTTAACATGCTCTCGTGCAGTTGACGTGCTCGAGCAGTCGCAGTAGCGTAGGACGGTGGGGGCGGCGTTAGCAAGAGAGGCTGCTTAATCGTATTATGAGTGCCAAGAGCATTCGAATTAAGCGTAGGGGCTGTAGGCGGGTACGACCCTTGGCCTCGAAGGGTCCTTGCTGCTATCGCCTGCGACGCCGCCGATGGTGGTAAGTAAGGATCCTGCTCGTCAACCTGATGATAATCCCTTCTGAAACAAATGTATCGTTATTCGTTTAATTATCAGCGGATTCTACCATAGATCTTACGGTGCCTGCTGAGGCGTTACAATTGATAGCAAAGTAAACTCTGTTGACATAATAATCAACCATTTACTTATGTAATCATTGTTGCACTGAAGATGGCTTATTTCACATTGAAATGTTTGTCATTAATTAATACAATATTTACCGTTTTCGTATGTATATCCACGTATGAGAATCCACCCAAACCAATACGGTGAACAAGAGACCTGCGGCTAAACTGGCTATTAGCATAAAACTCAATCCATACCTACAACAAACACATTAGAGAGAAACGTTATAAGCTACCGTATCACTTTGCGTAATAAAATTGTTTTTCTAAACTTTAATTAAAATATAGCCATACAGAGGACATCGACTTACAATCCCAGATGACACAAACTCTTGGCGGCGTGAACGTATTGCTTGTGCAGAGGTTTACAGTCGAGTAACGTAGCTAAACCGGACACGAGTCTGTCCACGGTATTAACGTCAATGGACAAACTGCTGAGTTTCGGCTGGAGCTGCTGATCTTTGAACAGATCTACCGCTAATCGAGTCACCGTGTTCAAGTTATGCCTCATGTTGCCCACCGCGCGCTGCGCGTCCCGCAGTCTCTGCGTGAACGGATTGCTGCGGGTGTTCTCGCAATGCGTGTAGTACGAGAGCACCTCGGAGGCTAAGGTCGACGGTACGGCCCTGCTCAAGTAACCGTCGGGCGATACGCAGAGATCACCTAGAGCTACAGAGGTGGCCAGGTATAAGGACGCCATGAGCCAAGAGACGATAACCGCAAACAAGCCGAACACGGAGAATCTGAAAGGATATTTCATCAGTTTGTCACCATTTCATCTACAAACGACAAGACGGTCCATTCAAATTTCAATCCAAGGGACGTACGTTATAAGGACGCATCTGGAGTGCCGTGCGACGCCGACCACCAGGACCACGCAGAGGACAAGTAGAGCGCTCAGGACTGCCATAGTGATGGGCCATCGCAACTGCTCGATCTTCTCGCCCAACCCGATGGCGCCGGCAAGACTGATGCCGCTCAAGGGCTTTCGTATCTCGAAGCTCCGATTTACGGCGATGCTCGTGTTTTGCTTCATACCGTTAAGCGCCACTAGTAGCCAACCTAGCATAGTTTTATTGCTGACCGGGGCGTCGAATTCATCTCCGAGGGCAGTTAGCTGCGGCTGCACTTTTTTCCTCAGAGTCGCCTCTATAGTGTCAGTCTGCAAGAAAAGTAAATAAGTACAGCTGCTATTTTCAATTGCCGCAACGTAAATTGCTCAAACTGCCTTACATTATTTAAATCGAGTCGGTGTTTATTCACGTGAAGAAAAACTAAACTCTAGTGTCCATTTCTACCCATGTAGATTAACTTTAATCTCCATTTAATTCTCGCTTATATCTTTCTCTAATTCTTAAACCAAAGAGAGGTAAAAAGTAAGTCGGACTGAGATTAAAGTTAATCTACACTGGTGGACACTTTAATCTACCAAATACCAAGTCCCTTTCTTTCAAGAAAAGGTACCTGATTTCTGACGCCCGTGAGGATCCCATCGACGTTCTTCGCAGCTGCTACGAGTTGCACCAAGCCGTTGTGCACGTCGTCGTTGCCGTAAAGGCCAACAGCGACCGCTCCGCTACAGATCAACGCCAGGACGGCGAGTGAGCACTTGAGCACGGTTATCGACTTCTTGGGGCGCGGCCTTCGGTCGCAGCATCTCGTTACCAAATAAACCAGCAATACCAGCAGAGTTAAAATCAACCAGGCTGCAGGAATACTTCCCAGTATCCCGAGGCTCTGTAAACATTAAGGGTCGCCTTGCACCGAAACTTGACGCTTCGCGTGAAATCTTACAAACGAGATTACTAAACAAGAAGAAAACCATTACTAATTTTCCATCCTTCGAGTTTCATAAGATTAACGATTGTCCTCTACCCAGTGAAAAGTTCTTTACAAGTAAATATACCATTTGGAATTTAATTAAGGAAGAAGCTTTCTTAGACCGTCCGGGCAAATAACGAAAAATTGGTATCGCGCCAAAGTGTCCTCATCTGCAGCTCCTACCCTGAAAACGGCAATATTGTCGTGGTGCATCGTCAAGGGCCGCGCTATTCCAGGCGCATTTACGTATTTACTCCGTGAGCGAGCCGCGCTTACGGCCGTCTCGTAACTTGCACCGCTCTTCTCTTCCTGCCTCTCCCCCGGGGCTTTTATCTCATTTCTCGGCGGTCTTAGCTCCGACCAAGTTTCGCGTCCGTCTTCTTATCCATCGGCGTTTGTGCCCCTGCTCGACTTGGACGGCTGAGGAAGGGACGTGCCCGTGCGGTCCCCGAGTCGTCGGTTCCCGAGGACGTCGAAGACCGGCTCCCGCGAGTCGCCCCGGGCGCATTATGCGAAAGCCTTTGTGCATTGTTCGAGCTTTCCCAGGCATTGTGCTTTTCAGTCGCGCACACGGGCCCCCGGATTCTTGCGCGCTCGCGGCATCCACCTTGCCCCCTTCTGGCCCTTTGCTTTTTCTTCGCCGCTCCCCCCCCCCCCCCCATCCTCCCTTCTTCGCCTCCTTTTTGTCCTCTCCGTTTTTTCCGCGGACACGCGACGCCTTCCTCTCGTCCACTCGCTCCCAAATGCTCGCCAACGTGCGAGATCAGCGCTCGCGACCAGGCTCGTAAATTCCATAGTCATAGAAAACAGACCTGCCCTTGGCAGAACGGGGAAACATCGGGGAAGCTGTCTTTCTTTATCCCGCGCAAGTGGGGGAGTCACTCTCTCTCTCTCTTGCGTATCAAACCCCGTTTGCCGTAAGGAAATGCATGGCATGCCGAGTCTATCTGGTATGTCTATGGTATAGACATAGTAAATATAGACTGAGCGTCCCATTGAATAACCTGAAGCTTGTCAAGAGTTAAGAAGACTTATTTTCTCTGTCTTACAGCTGTCTTACACTTTGCTCGAACCTAATCGCGCGTTCCTAGACTCAATAAAAATTCTGTCTATCACCGTACGTCTTTCTCTCTGACAGAATTTTGCCAGACCTGGCCAAACTCCGATTATGGAGACTATCGACAATCCACAGTGCCATCAACGCGAACGCCCGCAGGAATTCTGGATCGAGGCGACCCGATAGTACTCGGTTAACGCACTAATGCGTTCATTAGTACCGTGTTAAAGGATCAAAAGGACAGATTGCGAAACGCTGGAAAAATGAGGGGATTCGATCGCGTTCGCGACTTCTCACGAGCGATTTCGTATATCAAAGATTTCTACGAGTCGTACATCTACTTGGGGAATATATCGTCCGGCCTGGATTGGAGGTGAGCTGATACCCTCCTGAGGACGTTATCCAGATCGACCGGCGCGCGGTCTCCGGTTAATCGGGCGCGCTCTGTTTTAAATCAGCGAGATCGATTCGCGCGCGACGCATGGCGGGGTCCCCGATAATCGGGTGGCCAAGGAGGTTCGGAATCGAGGGATTCGCGCCGAGCGAATACCTACCTCCAAATAGATCTCGGAGTGGGGATTGAACGTATTATTGACCGAGTGTAAAGAGACGTTGAGATGCGGCAGACTGTGGAAGATCCGCGCGTACTGCGGCACCGTGTACTGCTCCGGAAGCTGTTGACCGCCCGCCATTGTGGAGAACCCTTGTCTGCCAGTCGAAGCGTCCTCTCCCTGCTAGTCAAGACATGCTACGCGCGGCCGAGCTGCAATCAGAAGATAGCGAATTAGTTGACACCGAGGATTCTGGGAACTTGTCGGAGACGCAAGTCGCCCGGATTCTTTTTGCGCCGGCTAATTGAAGGAGCATCTGCGCCCGACGCGATACATCCCCGCATTTGCATAATCGAATAACAATTCCCGCGCGGCGCGCGGAGTCGCGCTTTTATATCCTTCGGCCGAATACATATCTGTGAAAGCTCCATGTGGAAACGTGAGCTATTAAAACTTTCTGTCGCAAGTGTCCACCGTGACCGAATGCCAGGCTTTCACGACCCGAGATTATCCCGATAATGGAAAGGGGCGAGATATTACATTTATTATGATAAACTCAGAGAGGCAAACCTCTTTTCTCCGGAGCGCGCAAAAATTTCCCGTCGTATATATCGTCGTTGGAAAAATACGTTCCCCGGGTCGCGATCAAATTCCGGCTAAATGGGATAAGATTTCACTGCACGTCCGTTTTCATCCGTTGTGCATATATAAATTTCGATTATTCCGGCCGCCGCCAATTCCGTTTGAATTGCACCCGGATTAGGACTGTCCCGAGTAATGCGGATATTAATTCCCCGGGGGATCGACGTTTTTGCGAATAAACGACAAAAAATCGAATTAAAATGGCGCGAGAGTAGAATCGGAGTTTAATCTCGTTGGGACGCGCACCGGCGCGGCGCGGCGCGGGCGGTCCGCGGTAGTAGAATTCGCTCGCGAATTAAGCGTCAAATTTTCTCAAAAAGGCTCATTGAGAGTTTTAATTCGATTATCATTTCATTAACATATTGCGCGTCAGCTTCCGCGCTGCGAGTCACGATTCAATCTTGGCTAAATGCGCCGACGTCGCTCAGTGTCGCAAAACGTTTTACCGTAGTGATTCAACTCTTCCGTAGTGGAATCAACGCGCGCTTAATTAATCAAGTCTGCGCTCCATCTCTCTCGCTTCATTGACATCACTAAAGCGCGCCGAAAGGATTCCCGGGGTGCTTTTTAGCCATCAAATCGGCTGAAATAGGTTTAATGGGCCCGAACGCCCGGCATTACCATATTAAAACTTTGAAGAAACCTCCATGTTTGTCAAGTCCTCTTTCAATTCTGTCACAACATCGAAACGTTGTTAGTTAGCGATTACATAATAACGATAATAATAATTATAATAAGTTTAATCTTGGTTCAATTCATGTTTATCTCCTTCTAAAGAAACAGTTAAGCGACGTTGGCGAAGCACGTTTATCTCGCATTTATCCAAAGCACGTTGGTAAATTAACACCGCAATTAATAGTACGCGTTCTCTCGTAGTAATAAATAAAACCGGACAAAAATAAAACACGTCCGCGCGGAGTCTCCAATCGGATTTCTCATAATAATATTAATGAAAATTAATTCACCGCATGCGAGCGTATTTGCATGTTACAGCACCAAACATGATATAACGGTGACGATTAGCAGCGCGTTTTATATGCATCGCGCTCTATATTAAGCTCCTGCAGACACCACCGCGAGCAACAAATACCTATCTCCGTAATAAATATATCACGGATCGATTAAGTGCAACGTACAGGTACGGTTTATTAACCCACTTTCTCGTTTCCATTCTATCCTTGAAGCGTGCATCGCCAGCAACTTTGCAACACGCTCAAAGTCAGAAAATCGACGCGCGCGCTTCCCGATTTCAACAACGGCCTTGTAACACAATAAACGCTTCCTTATTGCGGCTTGATGTTTCCAAGTGAGAACCAAACAACTCCAATTGTCTCGCGAGGAGTTAACGTGCGATATGTTGAATGAATTCACTCTAAGACGCGTAGATCTCACCGAGTGTTCCGGCAACTTTTAAGGCAACTCTTGTTTACTAATTTGAACCTTTATTCGACTATCTTTGTGCGCTTGCACCTCTGCAGAGCTACCGCGCTGAAAGCCTCATCTACAATCGAGAAACGCTCTATTTTATATAAGCAAATCGAAACTTGCATACATTTTTTTTACCTATTTATTGGTTACACGGAGAGAATTTTCTCTTCAAATTTACCCTGAAAAATTACCTAGTCGTGGGACTTGTAGGATAAATTTTAAGAGAAAATTCTCAAAATATTATACAATGTCTCTAGAGCACATTGTAGATCAACGCTTGAGGGTTCGTATATACGGACAAAAAATGATTGTTTAATAATCTGGATATTTAGTTGAGTTAACATTCATTTAACGCCAGTAGTTGATTCTCCAATGTAGAAAATTGCATGACGACCCATGGCTGGCAAATTGTAATTAAAGAAATTCACTGCGAAAACCTCAGCCAGGGTTTGAACCTGGACCTCCCTACACTCCATGCGGGCGTCTCAACCAATTCGACCACCGAGGCATGTGTAATTAGAATTTGCCAGCCATGGGTCGTCATGCAATTTTCTACATTGGTGAATGATTTATGTTTGCGGCAGCTCGTTACGTTAACGTGTGTAAATTACAAATTGAACGAATGAACGGACACAAATGTCGAGACGCGGCGAATCTTACGGTCTGGTCGATTTGCACTTAATTTTGCACGGCTATTCGTTTTCCCCGTTGGATGAAACCGGCAGTTATATCGCCACGCCGGAAGAAAGCTGCGGCTCGAGTATCGTCGCGCATTCATATTGACTCACCGTGCGAGCGATAAATAAAGTCACCGCC